TGGAATCTGTGGAATAGAGAGAGTGATTTTCCAGCAACAAATAAGATTTGAGAAAAGTGTTCCTCAGTCTCCGTGCAGCCTAAGGGTGAGTTGTGTGGTTTTTGAAGCACCTAATCTGTATGGGACATGAAATTTCTGATCCTGAGGGCAAATGCCAATAAAGATTACACAGCGACTGAGGTGATTTCTGAGAGAATCTAACTAGGGACCCTCAGAGGTATCTGGCCTGTCTCATCATGCCACTCAATTATTTCAAATGAGCTGTACCTGTCGCCCCCATTAGGATGGAAGAATCCATTTGGGAAGGGACCCTGTACTTTCTGATCTCAGTCTGTGCATAGAATGGGGCTGAACCCAGAACAGGCATTCCACAAATATTCCCCGACTCAGTTGCATTCCGATCATGTGCAGCTTGGGGCCCTGCCAAGGGAGTGACTGGGAGTCTTCGTGTCCTGTGGTGTTTGGTGTTTTGTTCATCAATGCGAGGGCAGGCCTGTGCCACCATGGGTGGGAACACTTCATGTAGGCATTGGAATCATCATGAAAAGAACAGGAGAGAAAGCTCTGTATCTTTTTGGCAAATTGCACCAAAGGTATGCAGGTCAGAAAGCCATTTAATCCATGACTGAAGACACATGGATGGGTAAATTTTATAAACTAAAATAATCTGGCAGATCCCCTGATTAGTTGCTGTTAAGCTTGCTCTCGTGTTACAGGCAATGACAAACTTGGTCATGGGTCTGGACAACATGCAATTCCGATGCAGGATAGTAGGACATTATGGGAATTAGCTGGAAGGACCAATGATGCAGGAAGTACAGGCTCAGGTATTGTACAGAGAATGCAGTCACCCCCCATGTGCACTGCATCATCCAGAGACGCAGCATGGAGGAGAGGAGGGGTACACGCCCTCAGTAACCTAGCGTGGTGCATGCTTGCTTACTGGTCACCGTCGTATGGTCCATTATTTCAAGCCAAATGTCCCCAGTTCCATGAGAGCTGGCATTCTCCAATATCGTGGCAAATAAGGAAAAATGGGATAATCTGAAGCTTGAGTAAGAAAAGCCTTCCAGGAGCTGCTTTTCAGAAGCACTGGCCAATGTTTGCCAAGGGTGGCGAGGCCATTGTCAGTTTCCAGGAAGACGTGTAAGAGCCTGAGTGTTGTGCAGTCCCAGTCCTGGCTCCCAGACCAAGCAAACGTGTAGCAGATTAAATATTTATCTATTGTCCTGTCCACCTCAATAAAACAGGACACTCTTTAAAGCGGTTGCCTTAACAACATTTGTGTGTTTTGGAATGCTGCCCCAGGGTGACCAAATCGCATCTGAAGATGTGAAAACATGAAAATCGATAACAAGAAATGAAAAGTTTGTTTCACTGATAAAACATCATTTATCTTAATCATTGGGGCTTCTCAGAATTTCCGAAGTGCCCTTTTAAATGGCAGCACCAGAGCTACTGCCCCTGTGTGGGCAGAAGGCCCAGAGGACTCGAGGCAAGAATGCTGACTGCTCAGGCCCTGGGAGCCTGCAAAGGAGAAGTGTCACCCAGGGGCAGGCACCTGCTGGACAGCTTTCCAACCAAGGATCTCCCAAGGCGGACTTTCCGGGGATATTTCTGGTATTTCAAAACTCCCAGTGAAAATAAAATAATATGGTACCTTCCTGTGAAAGAGATTTTGCAAGACCCTACCTGTAAAGTGTAAGTGGGCCAGTTTTGGTAGGCTTCACGTAACGTGCCAACAGTAAATCATGCTGATGGTTATGCGCTGGGAGAACGAAATTATTGTTCCACCTCCGCGAGCCCCATACGCTGCCCCTCCCCTAGGCTGGGTGACAGCATGCCTGCTCCCCTCACCGAATCCAAACAGGTCCTCTGGTGGGAAGGTTAGGGGCATCAGTCCCAGGGATGAGCTCTCTGGCTCGTAGTCCTCTCCTCTCCTTTGCTTTACATCTGCAGCCCCATCCAGTCTTCTGATTCCTTTAGCTCTTCTTAAAAGACCCAAATGTAGAGAGGATGGAGGTGGCATAATAGCTCCTTCCCTCTGGGCAGCAGGAGGCGGAGTCTTAGGCGCTCCCGCAGGCACTGCCTTTGAAGAGCGCACCCAGGCCTCCTGCGCACGCTTGAGACCAGGTTCCGGGTAGGGTGGGGCTGGGCAGGAGCTGGGTCTCCTCTCCTGGGCTCCTGTGCTCTCCAGCCATGACCGTGGTATGGAGACGGAAAGGTGGTCCCAGACTTCCATCCTGCTGACACAGCTTTCTCAAGTTTTCCCACACAGCGGCCAGGGTTTTTAACTTACATTGCTTCCCATTTTTCCTACGATAAAATCTGTCATCCTCTGATCTGACACCTCTTCTCCCCTCTCACTCTTCATACCCCAGCCATCCTGGCTTTCTGCCAGTCCCTCCAAGGAGCCAAGTCTTCTCCTGGCTCAGCCGCCTTACCTTAATAGCTCTTTACTCGAGTAGCGCAATGACTCAGGTGTCACTTTAAGACGTCACTTTGCCAGAGACCTCTCTTGACCTCAAAATCTAAATGAGACCTCCTTCACAGTTTTTTGTGCTTCTGCACAGAGATCATCCCGATTTGTAGGTACCAGTGATTTGTGATGACTTCTGTGCGTCTCCCCCATTATTAGACAGGGAGCTCCACAGGTGGGCCTCCCTCGCCACTGGACACAGTGTACCTAACACGTCGTAGACACTCAGCACATACTCCTAGACTATACGGCCTAACGGCTAAATGAACGGGTGAGACCCACCAAGAACTCATCCTGCAAATTCCTTAGGAGGCAAATAGGTCCTGTGGGATGTGCCCTCTTCCGTCACCCCATAGACGGTCACAATGTGCATCAGTGCAGGAAACTCTGAGATGGGCTCTAGTTATAAAACAAAAACAAACCAAAAAAAAATATCAAAGCTGTAGAAAGTGAGTTTAATTTTCTTTTTAGCCTCTTGTTTCCCAAACTTGAGTGCGACATTTTCTTCACCTCACATCTATTAACCTCCTACACGATGTACTTGAAGAGATGCTTCACTGGGCTTCCTACCTGGTAAGCCTGCAATTCTCAAGGCTGCCAGGCTTGGTGTGGGGACCGGTCATCCTGCATTGAGCACCCTCGTGCTGCCTTGCTGTCATCAGGAACACATGTACACACGTGCAAACAGCCCGAACAGCAAAGCAAGAGGCACGAGCACATTTTGGAGCTAGCCTGGGTTTATATTTTTCAGGGAAAAGGAGGAGAAAAAACATTGAAATTTGGTGTGTGCAGATAAAGTCTTTGTAGTTATAATAGCGAGCAACTCCTACATACTAACTTGTCCTTTGCTGGGACCTGAATCTGCAAGTGTTGGGAAGCTGGTGAGTGAGTCCACCGACCACACAGCATTTGTATTTCAGTGCAGTCGTCTTGTTCTCAGTTTCCACAGCAACTCTCAAATTTTCCAATAGAGCTCAGTGAATTTTGGCGGTGGAGGGAGGGGAAAGATTGCATGCAATAGTAGCATTGGTGAAGATTTCAGGACACATCCCTCTTGCATCTGTAGAATGTTTTTTAGGGAGGTGGGTTTGTAATTAACTGCAGCGGATCTCAAATTATTTTTGATCAGCCCCTACTTAGGCAGGGCAAAACTGCTTGACCTACTGACTCCATCTAGTCTCATTTTCCAGTGGAAAAATAAATTAGTGATAATTTTGAGGGAGTGGATTATGTATACATTTATTCTAGCGCTGGAGTATGGATGATTCATATTTGAACCACAATGTATACACGTCTGAGAGTCGAGTTATTGGAAAATTACAGCCCCAGAATACTGTTGATGCAAATAAGCTCCAGTATACTCTGTAGGGTTAACCAAGCCACCCACAACAAAATAAACTGATAATGCTAAAGCTAAGCTAACCGTAATTCATAATTAAAAAGAACCGAGAACAGCAATTGCAAATAGCAACTAACTCAGGACAATATTGATGATGTGCTGATATAGAGTCCTTCTCCCAGATTTTGAAAATGTCAGCTCTGTGCCTACACATGTGAAACTGGAACCTTCCCATAGAGTAGACAGGCGCTGTATGGCGGCTGGGCTTGTAGCAGAACACTGTGGGGTGCTTTATATTTTTGCTTATTTATTTATTTAAATCTTTTTTTAAAAACATTTTTTATTGATTTATAATCATTTTACAATGTTGTGTCTATTTAAATTTTTTATATATGGTAGCTAGTATTTGCAAGTCTCAAACTCCCATATTTATCCCTTCCCACCCACTTTCCCCAGTAACCATAAGATTGTTTACTATGTCTGCAAGTCTATTTCTGTTTTGTAGATGAGTTTCATAGTGCCGTTTTTCTTTCTTTTTTTTTTTTAAGATTTCATATATGAGTGATATCATAAGGTATTTTTCTTTCTCTTCCTGGCTTACTTAGAATGATGATCTCTAGGTCTGTTCATGTTGCTGCAAATGACATTATTTTATTCATTTTTTATGGCTGAGTAGTATTCCATTGTAGAAATATACCACAGCTTCTTTATCCAGTCATCTGTCAATGGACATTTAGGTTACTTCCATGTCTTGGCTATTGTATATAGTGCTGTTATGAACATTGGAGTGCATGTTCTTTTCAAATTAAGAGTTCCCTCCAGTTATATGCCCAGCAGTGGGGTTGCTGGATCATATGGTAAATTTATTTAGTTTTTTGAGGAATTTCCATACCGTTTTTTCTCAGTCAATTACAAATTAGTAGCCCTAGTAATATGTACAAATGAAAGCTTAAACTGCACACCATTCACCGTAATAATCCAAAGGAGCCCTTTAAAAACTAAATTCAGCTCAGGGCACAGGAAAACGTGTCTGGTAAGACACCCTCTACCCCGACCCTGGTAGGTCCCGGTCTTGACTTTGGAATCACTATCTATGTGGCATTACCTCCTCTGGTCGGGCTTTCATTTCCCAGCTCGTGCAGACCAGACATGTGCATTTGGATTTATAAAGTACTCATATCCTCGTTTCAAAATGTAAGAAGTTTTAATACCCAGTGTAAAATAATCTCCTTGATAGAACATTAAGTGAAAAAAGCAGTGTGCATGATAGTATGTATACTATGCTATTTATGTTAAAAAATGATTTTATATGTCTGCTGATGCTTTATATGGCCAGGGTATCTCTGGAAGTAAATATAAAACATATCAAAATAGCTGCTTCTCGGGACAGGTAAATTGGCTGCTGGGGGAGGGGAGAGAGGGAGATGAGGTTCTTCACTAGATACCCATTTATGCTTTTTTAATTTTGCACCATTTATAACTATTAAAAATATCAATGAATTTCAATTTAGAAAAGAGCAGAAAGGACAAAAGGACCCAGTGAGCCTAGAGACTTGATTCTTTTCTCGGTTTTTTTTTTTTCCTTTTAAAAGAGCTGAGAGTTAAGTTTGGCTTATTTATTTTCTGATGCTTTTCCCCGCTTCATGTATTAAGCAGGAGATTCCAGAATCTAAAGGAAAGTGTCTAAATGAGACGATAGGGTTATAAAACCAGGCCCAGGCCCTGGGATTCTGGACTAAAGGCAAAGATCTCGGTCTCAAAACACTTTTCTGATAAATTAGACTTGTTATGGAAAACTTTCTAAGGGTTCTGAGGTGTTTTCATTACAGTGTACACATAAAATATAGAAAGGAGTGCCCTGAATAAGGCCACTTGTCCACTCTCCATTTACAGCTTGAATATAAGGAAAAAACAAAAGACAAACCTCTTACAGCAAAGCCTGTTTAAATGAACACAGTCCTCTTATTTCATCCCTCTTTAGTATTGCTCAAGGAGACAAAGCAGTTATCTACGTTGATTTGGTATTAGGAATTTAAAAGAGAGCAAACAAATATCATGGTATCTAGTGTTTCCTAATGAAAAACGAAATACTTCACTAATTATGTAAAAACGAATTGTATTCTTTTACATAAATTGACACGAGAGTACATTTTCTTTGTATCTTAAATGCTCATTATGCTGAGTAATAATTCCTTTTTGGAGAAAAATCTCTGCAGAAACAGGCAGTGCATCTAAATCGCGTGGGTTCTGAGCTACTGCAGCTGGACTGTGGAGTCAGACGTGAGGCGAAGCTGGAAGGAATGTTTTAGACACGATGGGAGGCCTCGCTCTGGCTGGTGGTGTAGACAGAGGCCAAAATGAATTCCTCAAACTACAAATGGGCTTTGCACGACTGGGCCTCCAGTAGTGACAAAGCATTCTGGAGGCGGGACACAGGCTGGTGTCTACCTGGCATATTTAGGAAAATTCTGTGATGCGGATATATTATCAATACACGTTACTAGTTATCCCACGGCTTGGTCAACTCATGAGCACAAGTATTAGGTACCATCAGCCCATCCCTATGGAGCACATGGAATGTGCAAGTATTTGCCCCACGCCGCTTGTCCTCCTAGTCACCCCCACTTCAGCCCCCTTCCTATCCCCGCAGGACAAGAGCCCTGTATACCAAAGTTGGGTTCACACAGAGGGGACCCATGTAACCATGAGCCCGCGGGTAACCCACGCAAGGAAACCACTCAGCTTGGGTCTAAATAACTTACATTTTTCCTCGCCTGAATTAGCCAGTAATTGCATGTGGGCAGACTTAGCCAGAAATGGTCTAAATGATCAATTAGAGGGCAAAAAGGAGTTCCTTTCTTTAAAGCTCAAGGGTCCCTGTTGAAGAGCCCCACTTCCCAAGCCCTGCTCACATGGGCCCGCGCCCAGCTCTCTGCGGTGCCCGGGTATATTGTACATTTGCCTAACGATAATGAATCGAGTACTTACTTTGTAGGAAAATATAGGGCACTTCCATTACATGCAATCAAGCAAAAAGGCTGCAAAATGTGCCACTCCATTAATTTTAAACACAATCCTTCCCAAATGTCACTCTGAAACCAGAGTAAGGGGTTATTACAAATCTGAAGGAATTAAGGATAATTGTCATCTGCACAAAGGAGTTAAGGGACATGGCTCCTGCCACACACATACTATTAACTGGGTTAAATTTGATTTGCCAGTTTTACTGTGAACCACTGAGCCCTGACCTAGTCTGCCTGGTGGTGAGATCAGGGGGCTTCTGGCTTCTTGGAGGGTGCAGGTGGACACACACACAACTACAGAACGTGCAGAGAATGTTATGTGATGGGCTACTTATTAACATATATTCAAAGAAGAAAAACAAGTGGCAACTTCTGGCAAGTTATGTAACCTCTAAGCCTCAGTTTCCTTATCTGTCAAAGGGGCTGATAACATATGCTTCAGTGGGAGTCATGAGTATTCACGAGTTGAGCAGGTCAGAGCACTTGGCATGGTGCCCAGCCCACAGGTTACACCCATTAAATGGTAACTATTATCTTTATTTTCATCTTCTGGTTGGGGGGAGGGTGGTCCCTTGTGCTTAAGCTGGTTCCCAAATCACACAGGAAAATCTGGACCTAGCACCAGGATGGGGACAACCTTCACCAGCCACTGCTGGGTCAGTCCTCAGAGCCTGGGAGGTGTGAGTCAGCCCACTGAGTTACTGATCACTTCCTTCCTAATTTCAGTTCCCACGGTCTCTGGGTCACAGCTGGACTTAGGGAAGAGCACAGAGCAGGAGACAGGAACAAGCAGGTTAAGGCGGCTCGGGGGACGGTCCAGTCTGCCCCTCACTCCACATTCCGGTACTTGGTGAAGAGGTTGTACAACACCCGCAGTGTGGATTTCAGGTCGCAGTTGACGATATCTGCATAGAAAACAAAACAAAAAAAATGCATGTTGCTTCAGTGGTGACACATGGCCCCAAATTGGCGTTGCTTGTCCTCTTCCTCCTGCCACCCACCACATGTGCCCAGCATGGTCCTGGGGTGGGCGTCTGCCCTGCAGAGCCAGTTCCCTGTCCTGGGAGAGAAGAGCATCCCCATGAGACAAGCAGGGGCAGGTGGCTGTTGAAGGATGGGCAGTGTGTGCAGCAAGAATTCAGAGCAGGGGGCAGTGAGGGGCAGAGGTGCTGGGGCAGGGGCGTGTCACCTCTCACTGAAAGAAAGCAGACCCCAGAGCACGCAGCCTTTGCCCTGGAAAAAGCATCCTGACCTTGACTGTGTCCCCTGGGTCTTACCTGTCTCTGGGGTCCCTCTCCCTCTGCCTTCAGCCTGCACCACAGAGCCAGCCAAGAGTGGTGGAAAGGAGGGGAGGGCCTGGGGCTACCACGGGGGATGAGGTGGTGAGTGAGGAGGAAGCTACCCCTCCCTTAAGAAGGGAGGGGAGGACACAGGAGGCCACCTGGCGGGGAGTACTCAGTAGGTAGGTGTCATCCAAAAGAAAGCTTCAGATTAAGGACAGAGCCAGGCAGCCAGGTTCGAGGCTGGAGCTGGACTGTATTTTCAGGAGCGTTCCACTGTGGGTCCTGAGCTGCTGCTTCAACAATTTCCTCTCGTCCTCACTTCCTCTGTTCCTCCCTCTCTTCCTTCTCTTTGCTGCTCACTTTCTCTGGCTGCCCCTCTAACCCTCTGCCAACTCCTCCGCCAACAAGGCCCCTCTCTGCTCTACTCTCTCTGCGCTCATGCCCCTGTTGGAGAGCCTTCCTTTGAAGAACTGGAGTAGGGAAAACATAAAGGAGGGAACTCTGCCTACGATTTAGGAATACGGGCTTAGGTAATAAAATTATAAGGAAAAGAAAATGTGAAAAAAAGAAAGAAAGAAAAAAGGCCAAATTCTGATGACTATACAACTCAGGAGAGTTGCACTTGAAATTATGTTCAAAAAGGGCAAGTGATGAACTCATCTACAAAACAGAAACAGACCCACAGGCAGTAAACAAACATGATTACTGGGGGTTGGGGTGTGGGGGAGGGTTGGGAAGGGATAAATTGGGAGCTCGAGATTTGCAGATACTAACTAATATATATAAAATAGCTAAACAACAAGTTTACTGTATAGCAGAGGGAACTATATTCAATATTTTGTAGTAACCTAGAATGAAAAAGAATATGAAAATGAATATATGTATGTGTATATATGACTGAAACATTATGCTGTCACCAGAAACTGACACACTGTAAACCGACTATACTTCAAATAAAAAAAAGAAGGGGGGAATTCTAAGGTTGCTAGAGAAAGAAAATGTCCAATATGGGAGAATGTTTCAAACTGACCATTTAATTTTTTTTTCTTTTATTGAAGTATAGTTGATTTATAATGTATTAGTTTCAGGTATACAACATAGTGATTCAATATTTTTATAGATTATACTCCATTTAAAGTTACTATAAAATATTGGCTATATTTTTCTGTGCTGTATAGTATATCTTTGTTGCTTATTTTGCTTCTTTATTTTACACATAGTAGTTTGTATCTGTTGTTCCCCTACCACTATCTTGCCCCTGTCCCCTTCCCATTCTCCACTGGTAACCACTGGTTTGTTCTCTATATCTGTGAGTCTGCTTCTGTTTTGTTATATTCATTTTTTAGGCCCCACATACAAGTGATATAATACAGTATTTGTCTTTCTCTGTCTGATTTATTTCACTAAACATAATACCCTCTAAGTCCATCCATGTTGTTGCAAATGGCAGAATTTCATTCTTTTTCATGGCTGATATTCCATTGCATTGCATTGCATTGCATTCTCTTTATTCATTTAAATCTGTTGATGGACACTTAGGCTGCTTGCCTATCTTGGACACTGTAAATAATGCTGCAGGGAACACTGGGGTGCATGTATCTTTTTGAAATAGTGTTTTCATTTTCTTCAGATATATATATACCCAAGTAGTGAAATTACTGGATCATATGGTGGTTCTATTTCAGTTTTTGAGGGATATTCTTACTGTTTTCCATAGTGGCTGCATCAATTTATATTCCCACAGTGTACTAGGATTCCCTTTCCTCCACATATTCGCCAACACTTATTAGTTGACCACTTTTTGATGATAGCCATTCTAACAGGTGTGAGGTGATAGCTGATTGTCATTTTGATTTGCGTTTCTCTGACGATGAGCGATGTCAAGCATCTTTTTATGTGCCTGTTGGCCGTCTGTATATCTTCTTTGGAAACATGTCTATTCTGGTCTTCTGCCCATTTTTTAATCAGATTGTTTTTTTTTAATATTGAGTTGTTTGAGCTGTTTATATATTTTGGATATTAACCGCTTATTGGTCGTATCATTTGCAAATATTTTCTCCTATTCAGTAGGTTGTCTTATTTTGTCAGTGTTTCCTTTGATGTGCAAGCTTTTAAGTTTAATGCGTATCATTTATTTAATTTTGCTTTTGTTTCTTTTGCCTTAGGAGACAGGTCCCCAAAAATGTTGCTACAATGTATGCAAAATGGTGTTTTGCCTATGTTCTCTTCTAGGAGTTTTATCGTTTCAGGTCTTAAATTTAGGTCTTTAACCCATTTTGAGTTTATTTTTGTACATGGTATGAACAAATGTTCTAATTTCATTCTTTTACATGTGGCTGTCCAGTATTCCCAGCACCACTTACTGTATATTCTTGCCTCCACTGTTGTAGATTAATTGACCACAAGTAACTGGGTTTATTTCTGGACTTTCTATCCTGTTCCACTGATCTTTGTGTCTGTTTTGTGCCACTACCATGCTGTTTACTACAGTAGCTTTGTACTATCGTCTAAAATCGGGGACCATGATACCTCCAGATTTGTTCTTTTTTCTCAAGATTGCTTTGGATGTGGTTATGTGGTTCCATATCAATTTTAGGATATTTGTTCTAGTTCTGTTTAAAAAAAAAAGTCACGGGTATTTTGATAGGGATTGCATTAAATCTGTAGATTGCTTTGGGTAATATGGGCATTTTAACAATATTCTTCCAATCCATGGCCATGGGATATATTTCCAATGCTTTGTATCATCTTCATTTTCCTCCATCAGTATTTTATAGTTTTCAGAATATAGGTCTTTTACCTCCTTAGTTTATTCTTAGGTATTTTATTCTTGTGGGTGTGATTTAAACAGGATTATTTTCTTGCTTTCTCTTTCTGATAATTATTAGTGTATAGAAAGGCAACAGATTTTTGTATTTTAATCTTGTATCCTGCAACTTTACTGAATTCATTTATTAGTGCTAATAGTTTTTTGGTGGAGACTTCAGGTTTTCAATATACAGTATAATGTCATCTACAAATAGTGACAGTTTTACTTTTTTCCAGTTGGATGTCTATTTTTTCTTTCTGATTGCTATTTCTGATTGCTAGGACTTCGAATACTAGGTTAATTAGAAATGACAAGAGAGGACATCCTTGTCTTGTTCCTGATTTTAAAGGGAAAGCCTTTAGCTTTTCAGGGTGGAGTATGATGTTAGCTGTGGGTTTGTCATAAATGGTCTTCATTATATTGAGATATGTTCCCTCTAGACCAAGTAATGATGAGAATTTTTACCATGAATGGATGTTGACTTTGTCAAATGCCTTTTCTGTGTCTATTGAGATGATCTTAGATTTTTATCCTTCCTTTTGTTAATGTGTATCAAATTGATTTGTGGATATTGAATATTCCTGAGATAAATCCCACTTGATTGTGGGGTTTTTATATATTGTTGGGTTTGGTTCGGTGATATTGAGAATTTTGACATCGATTTTTTTTTGAGAGAGATTAGCCTGTAATTTTCTGTAGTGTCTTTGGTTTTGGTATCAGGGTAATAGTGGCCTTGAAGAATTAATTTGAGTGTTCTCTCCTCCTGAATATTTTTGAATGGTTGAGAAGGCCAGATATTAGTTCTTCTTTATATGTTTGGCCTATGAAGCCATCTGGTCCTGGACTTTTGTTTGCTGGGAGTTTTGTTTTGTTTTTTACAAATTCATTTCACTACTCATGACCACTCTGTTCATATTGTCTTTCTTCCTAATTCAGTCTTGGAAGGTTGTATGTATTTAGAAATTTGTCCATTTCTTCTAGATGGTCTGATTTGTCGGCATATAACTGTTCATAGTATTCTTTGTGACTTTTTGTATTTCTGTGATATCAGTTGTTATTTCTCTCCTTTCATTTCTTACTTTGTTTGGATCCACTCTCTCTTTTTTTTCTTCATGAGCCTAGGTGAAGATTTATCAATTCTGTTATCTTTTCGAAGAAACAGCTCTTGGTTTCATTGATACTTGCTATTGGTATTTTGGCCTTTATTTTATTTATTTCCTCTCTGATCTTTATTCCTTTCTTTCTACCGACTTCGGGCTTTGTTTTTTGTTTTTGTTTTTTCCCCTAATTCCTTTCGATGGTAGGTTAGGTTGTTCGAGATTGTTTTCTTTTTTCTTGAAGTAGTCCTGTATTGCTATAAGCTTCCCTCTTAGAACTGCTTTTTCTACTTCCCATAGATTTTGGAAAGTTGTGTTTTCATTTTCGTTTGTCCAGAGATACTTTGATTTTCTTCTTTGAATTCTTCACTGATCCATTGGTTTTTAAGTAGTGTGTGTTTAGTAGCCACGTGTTTGTGCTTTTCCCATTTTTATTCCTGTAATTGATTTCTAGTTTCATACTGTTTAGTCAGAAAAATGTTTGATAAATTTCTGTCCTCTTAAATTTATTGAAAGTTGTTTTGTGGCTTAGCATGTGATCTATCCTGGAGAATATTCCATGTATGCTTGAAAAGAATGTGTATTCTGCTGTTTTTGAATGGAATGTCCTCTAGAGATCAATTAAGTCCAACAGTTTTAGTGTGTCATTTAAGACCAGTGTTTCCTTACTGATTTTCTGTCTGGATGATCTGTTTATTGATGTAAGTAGGATGTTAAAATCCACTGCTATTATTGTATTGTCAGTTTCTCCCATTATGTCAATATTTGCTTTATATATTTAGGTGCGTATATGTTAACAAGTGTTTATCCTCTTCTGGTATTGATCTTTCACTGTTTAATGCCCTTCTTTGTCTTTGTTATACACTTTGTTTTAATGTCTATTTTGTCTTACTGTATTACTAGCCCAGCTTTGTTGTTTCTATTTGCATAAAATATTTTTCCTTCACTTCCCCTTCAGTCTGTGTGTGTCTTTAGTTCTGAAGTGAGCCTCTTGTAAGCAGCATTTAGATGGACCTTTTTTTTTTTTAAATCCAGTCAGCCATCCCATGACTTTTGATTGGAGTATCTAGTCCATTGACATTTAAAGTGATAGATAAACAAGTTTATACTGTACAGCTCAGGAAACTATATTCAATATCTTGTAGTAACCTATAATGAAAAAGAATATGAAAACAAATATGTTTGTGTATGTATGACTGGACTATTATGCAATATACCAGAAGGTGACACAACACTGTAAACTGACTATACTTCAATTAAAAAAAAAAGTGATTATTGAGGGGGAAGGGGAGAGCTCAGTGGTAGAGTGTGTGCTTAGTATGCACAAGGTCCTGGGTTCAGTCCCCAGTATGTATGTATGTATAAATCAATCAATCAGTCAATCAAATTCCTCCCCAAACAAAAAAAAATTATTGATAGGTATGTACTTATTGCCATTTTGTTACTTATTTTCACGTTGTTTCTGTACTTCTCTGTTCTGTTCTTCTTTTAGTTTCTTCCCTTTTGGTTTGATGATTTTCTTTAGTGGTATGCTTGTGTTCTTTTCTCTATAGTTTTTATCTACTGCAGGTTTTTGATTTCTGGTTACCATGGACTCCATATATATTGACCTTAACTATATCTACTTATTTTAAACTGATAGTCAATTAAGTTCAAATACATTCTAAAAGACCTAGATTTTTAATCCCCCTCCACATTTGTGTTTTTGATGTCCAATTTTACATCTTCATGTCTGTCCCTTCACTGTTGCAGCTATAGTTGATTGTACAATTTTTTGGTCTTTTCATCTTCATACTAGCTTATTTTAAGTGGTTGATCCTCAACCTTTACTACGTGTTTGCCTTTACTAGTAGAATTTTTCCTTTCCTACAGATACTTACTTTTTGTATTAGCCTTTTATTTTCCACTTAGAAAAGACCCTTTAACATTTCTTTTAGGGTAGGTTTAGTATTGATGAACTCTTGGCATTTTTGCTTGTCTGAGAAGTTCTGTATCTTCCCTTCAATTCTAAATGATAATTTTGCTAGGTAGAGTATCTAGGTTGCAGGTTTTTCCATTTCTACATTTAAATATAACACGCCACTTCCTTCTGGCCTGCAAAGTTGCTGCAGAAAAATCATCTGATAGCTTTATGGGGGTTCCTTTATATATGACTGTTTTTCTCTTGCTGCCTTTAGAATTCTCTTTAATTTTGTCATTTTAATTATGATCTGTCTTGATGTGGGTCTGTTTGGCTTCATCTTGTTTGGGACCCTCTATGCTTCCTGTACCTGGATATCTGTTTCTTCAGGCTCAGAAAATTTTCAGCCATAATTTCATCAAATAAATTTTGGACCCTTTTCTCTTCTCCTTCTGGGACCCCATATAATCTGAACTTTTTCATGCTTGATGTTCCAGAGGTCACTTAAACTGTTCTCATTTTTAAACATTTGTGTTTCTTGTAATTCTGATCAGGTGACTTCCATCATTCTATCTTGTAGATCACTTATGGTTTCTTCTGTATCAACTAGTCTGCTATTCATTACTTCTAGTGTGTTTTTCATTTCATTTATTGTATTCTTCAGCTCTGATTTGTTCTTTTTTAGTTTCTAGTTTCTCATTAAATTCTCACTGTATTCATCTTTTCCCTAATTCAGTTAGCACTCTTGTTTTGTTTTATGAGGGGGTGGTAATTGGGTTTATTCATTTATTTCTATTTGGAGGAGGTGCTGAGGTTGAACTTGGGATCGTGTGCATGTCAAGCATTCACTCTACCACTTGAGCTACACCCTCCCCCTCAGTTAGCATTCTTATTACTAATGCTTTGAATTTTTTTATTTGGTAAGTTATTTGTATTTCATTAGTTCATTTTTCAAGGGTTTTCTCTTGTTCTTTCAACTGAAACAAATTCTTCTGTCTTCTCATTTTGCATAACTTTCTCTGTCTCTATGAGATTAGGTGAAACAGCTACCTACTCCAGTCTTGAATGGGTGTCTTGTGTGGGAATGTTGCTATACAGTCTCTGTGTGCCCACTGCCTTAGTTGGGAGAGCTGAATCTGATATGAGCATGAGTCATATCTTCCCCCATGGCATGCTGGCAGGTATCACATCGGTAGGACGCAGGGCTGGAGATGAGGGGCTAGATCGAGAACCAAGTGTGGTCTGGGGCTTCTCCTCTGCTCAGTGGCCAACACCACCCTGTTTGGAGTGGGGTGGGCCCCAAGTTGCTGGAGCAAAAGCCCTGAGGTTTGGGTCTGAACTGGTTCTGTTCCCTCTAAGTTGTTTTCTCCTCACTCCCAGCATCAGCACCCTTGCCCCACAGGGGAGCAATGCTGGATCAGGTACTCAGCATGGGTCTGTGTGTGGGCTGTGGCAGTCCCAGCCCTAGTCAGAGTCTCAGATGGCTTCTGATGTGCTGCCTGCATAAGCACTAGCATTGGCTTCTCCTGCACCTTTCAGATGCTGTTCTGGGTCCAAGTCAACTCCACCCCTCCCACGTGAGCCGCAGCAGCCCTCTCCCTAGTGTGGAGCAGCGTCATAAAGCAAGTGGGGCCAGAGCGGGCTGGAGCACATGCTGGGGCAGTTGTGGGAAACCGGCTAGAGTTTCTTGCAGTTTTAATCTCCTTCCTCCACTTTGTTTCAGGACCAAGCAAGTAGGTGCATGCTCTTCACAAGATTCTTACAGCCCTCCTGTTAGTCCCACTGATTTTCAAACCAGCCAAGAGGGGCTTGTCTTCCTGGTATCAGACTGCAGGGCTGGGGTGCCCAATATGTGGCTTAAACTGCTCACTCCCCAGGGAGGAGGCTCTGCCTGTGTAATCCCCCTCCTCTTTTGAGTCCCCTCCCAGGGACACAGGTCCCTGATTGCTTCTCTTTCCTTCCTACCCGATTCTATGTGGATCTTTCTTACCCTTGGTTGTACAAGAGTCTTTCTTCTATCAATCAGTCTCCAGTCAGTTTTTAGTGAGAACTGCTCCACATGGAGATGTATTTTTGATGTGTTCATGGTGGAGGGGAGGTGAGCTATGCCTGCTCCTGCTACACCTTCTTGATATGTCTCCTCCAATTTAATTTTAATGCCCACTCAAGTTTGAAGCCCATCTTTACTACAGTGGGTTAAATGACTAACCCAGATAAGTCATTTAACTTTTTGGAATCGGTTTTCTCACTGGCAAAATTGGGTTTTATGAAAAACACCTAGAACATATGAAGGGCTACCTGAAGGGTGGTTTCCTTCCTGCTTTCCCATCTTTGCTTGTTAGCAGAGCTGTTATGTATAGGCGTTCAGTCTGCGCACTGTACAACTCCAGGGGGTGTCATTCACACAAATTAAGCCCTGCTCCTTGGGAAATCTGAGACCCTTCTACAGGGCATCACCATGAGTTGGGCCTGGTGAAGTGGGAGATGACAGCTGGAGACACTGCTGATAGTCTGTTCTTATCAAGAAAGCCAGTGGCCACACGAGTGTTTCTAGACAGTCCAGTAGGGGGGCTATCTCAGCTAAGAGAGGGGCTCTGGATGCCTGGGAATGGACTGTGATTCCATGCTATATAAACAGAGCCTCTTTTAAAGTTCTCGGCTAATAAATTGTGATTAGCAACTCAGTACTGCTCTGAATACCTCTCTGCTGGCCCAGAGTCCCTCTCTCTCTGGGAGCAGACAGGATGGTAGGGCTTCTGGATAGAGACAGCCAGAGCAGAGGCTCTCTGGGGCTAAGGAAGAGACAAATCAGACCCAAGGTCACTCTGGGGAGAAAACAGCCTCTGGCCAAGGGGCAAGGGCTCCAGGTTTGCTCTTGTCACTCTCGGTGGCATTGGTGATACTTCCCATCCATCAGAGGACCATCCAGAATGAGTCTGTGGTTCTCCAAATGATGTAGAGGTCAAGGAAGGAAGGAAACTCTAATCCAGAAACCCAGGCTTTACACAAAGAGATGTGGCCCTATTTGTGCCATCCCAGCCTGATGGCCCTTCTCTGACACCTCACCACCCCCATCCCTGAGTTCATTGACCAAGGTGGCAGGACATCTAGTGGCTCAGTGCCCCCAGCTGGTAGGTGCTGGAATAACTTGAGAGGCCAGAGGCCGCTGCCTCAGGGTGAGCCCAGCCCCCAGATGTGCGTCATGTTCCAGCCTCCATCCCACCCCCAGTGGATGGAGCTCATTCTGCCTCAGTCCCTCTCTGCACCTTATTCCCTACTGGGACAGAATCCATCCTTTGGAGATGGGTCATTTTGGTGGCAGCCCGCTTCCCTATCTGGTGACTTTGCCATTTTCTTTACATAATTTTTAAAAAAATATGACAAGCTTCCAGGAAAGTACATACAACATATATATGTGCAGTTTTAAATACCTGGAAGAGAACCCCCGTGTCACCACCACCCATGGCAAAAGCAGAACGCCGTCATACCCTAGTAGCACACCCTTTCTCTCTGCGTTCCGGTCACATCGCGCTCGCACCCTGCAAAGACAACCACTCTCCTGACTTTCATCATGATTACTTCCTTTCTCTTCATAGTTCCACCAGCAACACATGCACCCTTAAACAGCAGGCTGTAGTTTTGCCTGTTTCTACACTTCAATAGAATAGACTCATTCTACACACACTTAGATTTTTTAAACTCAAAATTATAAGGTTCATCCCTGTTGTTGCATGAGCTGTTCATTTTTAAAACAATTTCACTGAGGTATAATTTATTGCTTTATTGAGGTATAACTATAATTATTCAGCTATATTCTGTAGTTTTTCAAGACTGTGTCTCCATTTGTTGTCTACTTCTGGTAAATTTTCAGTGCCTCAAAATGGTTGGTTTTGATCATTGTGTCCAGTTTTACAGCTGTTTTTTTTTGCAGCGGATAATCACTGGCCCCTTCATGCTACAGTAACTAGAGGTCTCTCTCGTGATTTCTCACTAGTTCTTTTTTACTGTTGCCATTGTGTAACAATTCACAGTACTTTAGTTTGTCTACTGGGGATGCACAAGCTCCAGTTTAGTCTATTAGATATTCCTGGACTGGAGTCTGTTATGTGGACATGCATACTTACGAGTGGAATTGCTGGGGCATAGGGTATATTAGCTTTGTATTGCTTCTCTAACATTATCACAGATTTGGTGGCTTAAGACAACCCAAATTTATTTTACAGTTTTAAAGATCAAAATCCAAAATGGTTTTCACTGGGATAAAAATCGAGAAGTCAGCAGGGCTGTTTTCTCTTCGGGAGACTCTAGGGGAGAATTTGTTTTCTGGCTTTAGTAGCTTCTAGGGGCTGCCTGCATCCTTTGGCTCTTGGCCCCCTTCCACCTTCAAAGCCAGCAATGGTGGGCTAAATCTTCCTCACACTGTGTCACTCTGAGTCATCTGCTTCCCTCTTCCTGTGATTACACTGTTACTACTCAGATGATCCAAGATAATCTCCTCAGCTCAAAATCCTCAACTCAATCACATCTGCGAAGTCTCTTTTACCATGTAAGGTACTAACAGGTCCCAGGGCTTAGGATGTGGACGTTTTTGGGAAGGCCATCATTCTGCACATAATACCACACTGGTGTTACAAATCTTAAATATATTAGATAACTATTTTCCAAAATAACTATCAATTTATCTTCACACTAGCAGTTTCTGTTGCTCTGCCTCCTTGCTTACAGTTGATATTATCAGAGCCAAAAAATTTTCCCACTGGTTTGTCCACTACCTCCCCAGAGAATGGGGAAGGAAAGTTGAACTATTTCCAGCCACTGACTGAATCTTTCTGCAAGTAGTATTGATCACCTAGAACGAAGCTACATTCACCTGCCTAGATTTTCAGCATTGTTTGAAGTAGCCTGGTTCCAGCTATTTAACTCCTATTGTAGACATTCCATCAGCCTGCTGGCTGTCCTATATGCAGACTTCATGCCTGCCTGGTTCTAGGTTTCAAGTCCCCAGTTGCCTGTTATGCTGGGGTCATAATCATATTCAGTGATGAGTCTACCTGAATGATAACAGGGTAGGTGTGTGCATTTAAGACACGTGGTATGATGTCCTAAATAAAAAGCCACCAGCTTCATGTGAGTATTTCAACTGCTCCATTGACCATGAACGTGATGCTAATACTTGGCTTACACTAGCTGGGGTACTAAAAGGGTATGAAGCCTGGGAGGCAAAAGTTATCTGAGATGGAAACCCAAAGTTTCCAGGGGATTTTAAGGTAAAACAGAGCTCTGAGTGTCAAACAGCATGGTGGCAGATGCATAAAAAATTTGCTATGAAAAATGCTTCCACCACAGCCAATTTGATTTTGAAACATCCTCAAAGGATTACCTACATTGGCACCTTTTGTAAAGTCTGCAGCATTTACTACTGAATCTCACTGTCTAGGTAGAAGCAGAGAAACAAGGGGGAATGCTGGAATATACCTCTCACAGAGTACAGTCACACAAAATACCATTTCAGTTCTCCTTTACGCCCTGGAAATTTTCAGCATGGGCATGGTGCCCAGTATAATAGACAAAAAAAAAACCCAAAAAACAGATGTGTTTTTCCATTCACATTGGTTAGGAAATTTCATATTAAGCAGTTCAATAATTGCACAAGAAATGCCATCTATATGCTGAAATATCCCTACAGGCTAATTGATATTGGGAAACTGTCTTAAGGGAAATCAGTGCTTGAAAACTGAAGTATTAGAAGACGTACTCCCAATCTGTAACCAGGAAGTTTCACATTAAGCAGTTCAAGAGAATGGAAGCAGAAACGCTGGCAGGAACTCTCCTGCTTTGTCTCTCCTACCCAGAAGCAGGGCGTTGATCTGCTGGCCATGGGACACTCAGAGTCCATTCCTAGAGGCATTAGGATGTCTAGAGTGGCCTTGCAGAGGCAGAGCCCCAAGAAGGGACACCAGCTTTACTAGAGGTCCTCCTCTGGCAGTGACCAGGTGCTTACAACAAGATGATGATAAATAAGAATAGGGGATTGGCTTTTGTTGTCTAGAGCTGATAGTTACCGGAGTCTGGAAAGTCATGAGACGGGGACTGAGCGCTCTTCGCCGGTTTTCCTGCTTTCTCCTCCAGCTTTGTAAAGTAAAGGCATTCCTACAAGATATGTCCCTCACCCTCCCCTTTTCTCTACATGCTTTCCTGTTGTTCCATGCTCTCTTGGTGTATAAGCGGAAGGCTTCTAGTCATATAACCACAGCCTTGATCTGCTGGAACTCCAGTTCTGCTTGTCCGTGCCTAGGTGTCAACCTCAAGGTTTTCAAAGCTGGCATCCTTATGCCCCCTCCTAAGCTTGTTTTTCCTTCTGGGTTCCCTAGTGCTGTCACTGGTGCCCCACATCTAAATATCTGTTCTTCACACTGCCTTCAAATGATCTCCTGGAATAGAGTCACAGTCACATCACTTACCTGCTCAAGGACCTTCCATGACTCCCACTGCCTACAGAATTGAGTCCAAACTTGCTGCCTTGGTCTCAAGTCCCTCCAGGACTTGTTTCATCATCATCATTATTCAATTCATACTCTTAATATTCCCACCAAATGGGTAACTGCTTACGCTCATTATTAGGTATCAGGTGCTGTGCATCAGATATCATCTCATTTAATCAGGGCACGTGTATGTCCCTAGGAGTTCCATTTTTATAGACATGAAACATAGGGTCAGAGAGGGTAAGTAAGTTGCCCAAGGCTTGGGTAGGGACTGGACCCAGGGCTGTCATGAGCTTAGCCACATGCTTTGCTGTTTCACAAACTGAGCCCTCATTCCCCAGGCAGGACTTTTGCTCACATTGTCAGCCTGTCTGGGATGCTGGTCCTTTCAGTTTGGTCCAGCTGTCACCATCTCCTCCTACACCCACAAAAGCCTGGGAGGGCTACTGGAACATTTTGCTCCTTTTGTATTTTTTTCAGTCTTCACATTTACAACACAAACTTGACAAATCAAGCCTCATCCTTGGGCAGAGTTGGAGCAGGCGAAGGACAGGAAAGGCAGTTATGCTCAGAGCAGAACTTCCTGCGAGGACCCCTGCCTCTTCCCCTTCCCTTACCGGGAGGCAGCTCCTGGGCAGGCCAGCACCCTGTCCAGGGACAGAACCACCTGGAAATTGGGCACAGGGCAGTTCCTGCAGCAGCACCTCTGCTCTGTGCACTGTCTGCACTGGCCATTATCCCTGCGATCCCATGTGTGAGATCAGATTCTGTTTTTCCCCCACAGCTGTGTGACCTGCAGCTCACAGGACTGAGCAGCTGTGCCCTGTCCCACCTTTCCCTGTAAATGGCAAAGAAAACTTCAAAAAAGACAGTCTTCCCTCTGGTATCAAACATGAGCCCTGCCCTGTGCCCTGAAAACTTGTGCACAGGGGCCATCTTGTCACCCACCCAGAGAAGAGCAAAGTACCTTCTGGCCGTGGTTTTGGCTTTTCCAATCCTCCATCTTGCATGAGCTCAAAGGCAAAGGAGACGTTCAAGACCTGGAAAGAGAAATGCAGTGTGTGAGGTGCTGCACTCATTCCCGGGCCCTCGCGGCTCCCTGAGACCTGCCCAGGAAAGTGAAGGGACCAGCACCGTAGCCAGAGGCTGAGCTCAAACGAGGCCACTACTGGAAGGAGAAGTGAAGCTACCAAAATGGGCCAGCCACGTGGAATGCCAGCCAGCCCAGCCTGCTGTGGGTGAAGTAACACTCCTGGAGGAGTTCAAAAATCCTCTTCCTGTCCTACTGTGTTCCTGCGTCACTGCCAAGACTGTAACTGCAGGGGTCTAAGTGCACACAGTTGAGAGTATCAGATGGCAAGACACGTTCAAGAGGCAGAAAAGGATTTCTGCTTGAGACCAAATGCCCCTTGTCTAGCGGACAGCGGCTGTGGCAGCCGATGAGAGGCACCAGAACTTGGCTACCTTCTGGCCATACCCTCTGAGCATAATTGTTCTGATCAAGAGAAACATGTGGGCCTGTGTGAGACAGAGGACACTCACCCACCCTCGGGTCTGACCAGCCTTGCAGCCACCTTCCCTGTCACCTCTGGGGAGAGAAGAGGCTAAGCTGTGGCCCCTAGCAGGAGCCTACGGCTAGGGGACCAGGGCCAGGCTGAAGGGGAGGGAAAGCTGTTCAGGATGCTTGGTGATACACGGGTATCTGCTTCCCAGCTCAGCTGCTCATCCCAGTGGGCCCCCCTATCCAACCACAGAAGACCCTGAGCAGACAGGAAGCCACTGCCTTTTCCCCAGATGGCCCCAGTGTAAGTGTGGGCTAGGGGCCTCCCCTGACATCACCTCCCCTTTACCTTCTGTTCAAAGCTGTCCGGGGTCAGGAAGAAGCTGTGCAGGGGCACGAAGTAGCCCTCAAGGAGCCCCATGAGCAGCACCAGGTACACTCCATCTGCAAACTGGAGGGGGAGAGCCAGGTGAAGGCACTGGGTCCCTGAGCCCCTCAGCCCAAGCTCACCAAGGGGGCTTGTCAGCTTCCATGTCAATCCTCCAAAGGCTGTAGCCCCAGGCAGGCTGCTGCTGGGGTGAGGGACACTCTGTAGCAGGCCTGCCCCTTGTCTGGCTAGTTCAGCACAGAAGCCATAAGCCTAAGGTCCTGATCTCAGCTGGTCCAGCATTTATTTGGCACCAACTAGGTACCAAGCCCTGATCTGGGACAGGGACCACAGAGATGAGTCAGTGTAGCCCCTGCCCTGGAGGAGCTCACAGTCCAGTGGGGACACTGGTGTGGAAGAAATGCAGCAGCTGCTCTGATGGAAGGAAGCACGTGGGCTTGCATGAGACTGACAGCGGCCACTCACTCCCGCTGAAGGCAGCAGGGAAGGCTTCCGGAGGAGGCGCTGCCTGGATGGAGAGGTGAGGGATGAGCAGGAGTTCACTAGGGAGGTCAGAGGGATGAGGGAAAGGGGATGTCCAAGGCCAACTGCATGCAGCCACTAGGGTGACTTCTGCCTTATGAACAGAGAAAGAACTCTAGTGTCGTGCAGGCCTGGGCAGTCTCTCTCCTTCTCAGCTGACTACTGCCTGGGAGGCAGCGCAGTGCAGCTGTTAGGGATGTGCGCTCCGGGGCTGGGCCGCCAGCTCCACCGCCTACTAGCTGCGTGACTTGAGCAAGTCACGGAGCTGCTCTGCACTTCATTTTCCTCATCCGTAAAGTGAGAAGCATAAGAGTATAGAATCTAATTCAAAGGGCTATCACGAGGACTAAGTAAGTGTCAAGTGCCTAAAACACTGCGTGGCACATAGGGAGCACTTAATAAACATTCATGACTGCTGCTGGTGTCGGGGAGGACAACACAGCTGCCCGGCTCTGCTGACAAAGCACAACTGTGTGCCAAGGGCCATGGCAAGAGGCTTAGAGCCTAGTCCCTCACATCAAGGATAGTAGAGACCATCCATCCAACTGGTCTCCAACTTAGGCGGGTAGGGCCGGAGCATGATTCATCCTAGGCCACCCCAGGGTGGGCGATGGGAAGCAGACACCAGTATCTGTGTCAAAATCAAGGCACTTCCCCGGAACTAGTTAACTGGGACCATTCTGACTGTGGCTGGAATGGACTGAGAATGAAATGATACAATTTATCAACTCAGGGGAGGGCCTTGGATTAGGGTCAGGGTTACTCACAGCTCCGAGTGCCCCTGACCTAGACTACTCCCCATGACTGGGTGGTAAAACCCCCAGACAGTGCTCGGCAGAGACGCACTTCCTGCCCAGAAAACTGAAGAGGAAGTGCTCATCACTTCTGCGGAGCGTTCCCTATCTCCAAAGAGTATATGAAGCTGACTCCAGAGCCCAGACACACCCAGGCAATGCCTGTAAAAAGAACAGGAGGTGCCCATGCATTCAAAAGAAAACCACACTTTAGAAGTTCATCAGAAATTGGAGGTTAGGAAAGAGGATACATGACACAGTCTCAAAGTATCTCCCAATAAAGATGCGTCATTCATTACGAAGGGGGAGAGCCTTATAGTAGGGGAATGGGGTGGACACCAGTTTAGTCAAACGATCAAAGTTACCAGCACCAGAAATGGGACTGATGGACAGAAGTGCCTGAGAAGAACACAGCATTGCCAAGGTGGTATTGTTCCTAGTGCCCATCATGAGGGAGAAAAACAGTGTACCAATATAGGGCCCACGCTCTTCAACAATGCCCATGTTAGGCAGAGAGGCTGAGGACCTGCTCTCTATTAGAAAGAGACTAAAGAGACATGACAACTGAACGCAGCAGGTGAGAATCCGAGGGCAGCTGTGTTTCTTTGAACCATGTGACATTGTCAAGAGCAGTCAGATACCAGCAAGCTCACATGGCTCAACCTCAACAGAGTAACATATTGTACTGATGTTAAAACTGCCTGGGTTTGATTACTGAGTTGTGATTATCTAAGAGAATGTACTTGTTCTTAAGAGGATGTATGATACAGTATTTAGGGGTAGAGAAAAACCCCAAAGGTGGCCAAAAGTTAACTGGTGTGGGTGGGGATCCATGATAATATTCTTGCAGCTTTTCAAAGTAAAAAATTGGAAGAAATTCAGAGAAGTGTCATGCCATGCATCCCTCGGAGTAGAAAAGATTCCTGTACTCCCCGTAAAAGCTCCAGGGTCAGGGTGGAAAGCCCTCCTGGCCGTGTGGGCTGGGGCACTGGCAACGGTGGCTGGCGAGGGGGGCCGTACCCTGCACCCTGCGCTGTCACCCACCTGGGTTTCCAGTTCCGTGACTTCCAGGTTCAGTTTATTCAGGTGCTTGTTCACAAAAGTGATGAGCGTCTAGAAGAAAAGCACAAGCCAGGCAGTGAGATGGGGACTCTGGCCAGTGCCGGACCGAGGGGGCTGCCTCTGTGACTCCCCCGTGAGCACATGGGATGAGGCCAGCCAAGAGCGCAGGGCCTGGGATCACTGGGCCAGGCTGAGCGAGGCTGAGCAGCCTTTGAGGCTTTTCCTGCAAAGCTCCTCGAGTTGACAGGAAAGGATGGCCCGTAGAAGGTGCGGTCCATGCATCGTGTGACTTAGCTGGCCATACTCAGGACTGTACAAGGTGCAGGGAGTGCTGAGAGGGCGGAATGACAGGTGGAATGTCCCAGCCCAGGGGCAGGGGGCCAGAGAAGAAGTGACCCCATTGGTCCTCCTTCCAGTCCCTCCTAGGTCCAGGTGCCTGTGCCCAGGGAGACAGAGGTCTACGTGAGGAGCAGGGATGGCTGGGGGTTCAGTGTGGGTGGGAAGACGGGGGACTCATAGCCTCAGAACCCCCAAGAGATACTGGAGAAGAAAGAGACTAAATGAGGTATCCAGTGAGAACAAGACAGGAAAAAACGGACATTCCGCAGGAAAGCCCCGTAGCTGCAAAGATCTGAGGAGGACACCAGTTTCGGGAGGCTTGCTAGCGGCAGGGGTGGGTTTTCCTAATGGTTGCAACATCTCCCTCCCCTCCCTCCCCCGTCCCCCCTTCCCAAGCACCTGCTTCCCACCTTTTTCACCACGTTGAGCTTGTCTGGTGCATGGTCAAACAAGGTGTCAAAGGCGTCACGTTCTGAAAAAGAGGAAAAGGTGAAGTCGAGCCTAGAGGTGATGCCACTGCAGGTCCCAGCCATGAGCTTTCACAGGCCAGTGGTCAGCTCCAGAAGGGGATGCTGTGGGGTATGAGATTGTGCTGGGAGCTTGGGAAACTGGGGCTGGGGTTGATTCTTGGGGGGGGGTGGTGTCTCTCTCTCTCTCCCCTCTGTGTCAGCCCTCTTCTGGGCTGGGGTTCAGGGGCTCCAGCAAGAATTGATCATTTCTCTTCACTGTTTGTATTCCTTGATATCGTGGTTTAGTCAAGGTTCCAAAGTGTTCCTGAAGCTTTTTCAAAGTAGAATGTCATCCAGATATCCAGTCAATTTACCCCCTAATTTTCAAAACCATGATGCCCAAGACAGGCCTCCTGGTAGAGAGCAGATAAGCGGATTGGGAGCCAGGGAGCCCCCAGACGGAAGGGGAGCTCCCCCTCCTGAGTGATCCAGTCACTTCAGCCCTTTCAGCCTCACTTTCCTCTCCTATAAAACGCCCACTGAGACATGAACCTCCCCCAGGTGGGTTCTGAGGATGGAAGACAAGAATGGATGTGCTCTGTAAACTCAGAAGTATCTACTGATCTGAGTTATTTGTGTGATCAGAATATTTCAAAATATTATCCACAGTAAATACAGGATTAGAGAAAACAGCAAAGCCATGCCCCCTGCAGGGATTTTCCCTGCACAGCTCCCCCGCTCCTCTGATTTGAGAGGTGAACTAGTGGAGGGCCCTGTGGCTGGGAATGAGGGCTTGTGGTGCTGGGGCTGCCTCTCCTACTCTCGCACCGATGGGTAAATCTGAAATGGCCAGGACGGGGGGCTGTGATCTGGACATTCACAGACTTTATAAGCAAAGTTCTGGGGAACAGGAGAGGCAGGAGGTGTGAAGAGGAAAGAGGCAGCTTTAGGAGGGCTGGACAGAGTGGGGAGAGGGGACAGTCCTGAGCACATAAATACACCTCTTCCTTTACTTCCATGGTCTGCTTAGAGCAAGACTTCTCTGCAGATGCCCAAGACCCATCCAGAAGCCCAGAAATGTCGGTGGTCTGGTTACTTGTAAGAAAACTGCCAGCTGTGGTCACTTCTCCTCTTCCCACTGGTACACTGACCCTCCCTACCAGCCAGCCCTGTCCCCAGGCTGGTGCAGACACACATGCAGAAAGCAAGCTGAGTGCCTGTTCTTCCCAGCTGCTACAGGATTAACTGGACCCCATGGCAGCCACCAGCACCAGAGCACAACCTTATGCAACTCACCATGCCTTCCGGAAAGAGCCCTACAGGAAAAGGAGAAAGAAAACAGTGTGAGTCTTCTCTCATCCCCCTTGGTTGCAGAGCCCCCAAACCTTCCCTCCTTGGCATTTTATTCTGCACTAAATCTCCTGCTACTGGTGGTCTTTACCACATTATCACCTGCTATACAGATACACTGGTGTTTGCACAAACCCTGGTATAAGTGATGCTTAAAGGACTATTTCTTGCCTTAAGTAAACTCACATTATTGTTTACAGTTGAGAAAGAGTATTGAGGGATCAGAGACCAAGATCCCTAAGCATTTTAGAAGCAGAGCTCAGGTACCACCCCAGTGTGGCATTTCCCTGCCCAGGCTGTGGAGGGCATCTGCTTGGGGAGGTCAGGTTAGGCTCTCTCCTGTCCACCCTGTGGTGCCCACCAAACTGCTCCTGCCATTGGCCCAGAATAGGTTTTCTCAAAGAAGGCAGGAGCTGGAACCACACTCATAGCAGTGAAGCAGCAAAGTACTGAGAGCACAAGCATTAGGGACAGACCACTTTGGTTTCAATTCCACAGATTAAGATTGCTTACTTGCTTGCTGTGTGACCTTGAGCAATCTACTAAGCCTCTCTGGGCTCCAGGTCTCTTATCTTTAAAATGAGGATAATAATGGTAAATGCCTCAATAGGGAGTTGCAAGCATTAAATGATTTAATATGTAAAGAGATTTTAGCATAATTCCCAGTATCTACTAAATGCCCAATACACTTTTTCTCAATACATGTTGGTTCTTATTATGTTGGTTTATTCCAGCTGTACATCTATCACCTGTTAAGCTATGATTTGTCAGTAGTGTACTGGGAAGAATGCTGAACTTGGAGTTCAAGTTGAGTAGACCAAGGGTAGTCTCCTCCACCTTTGGGCTGTGAGGTTTCAGGTCTAATCATTGCTTCCTGTGTTTATTATGAACATCAATGGAGTCAAAAGCTACATTGTGGTGTTGTTATTAGGAGCCTGCCTCCGTGTTTCTGTCTGTGGGGCAGGGTGGCCGGGAGAGGCCACAGAAAGCATTACAGGCAGCAGAGATTGCTCTGCAAACTGTAACTTTGTGTTCCCTGATTTGGGGGTTTCTCACAGGTCCCACTCCTCTCAGTACATCTTCCTCTTTTCCAGAAGGGGAAACAGCAGGCACAGATCAGCCCAGCATAGAGGTGGCGAGGTGTGGGGCAGAACGGAGGGGAACTCTCCTCCCAACAGGCCTGAGCCTGGGCACTTCTCTCCCGAACTCCTCACAGAATCGAGGCCCTTGTAGATCAGCTGTCCCCTGGCTGCCAAGACTGGCCCCTGGAGTGACGTGCAGGGGTCTCTGCCGGGCCATCACCTGGGTATCCACACCTCTGCCTGACCCAGAGCTGTTTTAAGGCACATGCACAGCGTGGTCCAGACAGGCAGCACCTGGATCCCACCAGCCTCGGCTGGGGAAGGAGCACTTTTCCTAGTGACTGAGTGAGGAAAATGCTCCCACTTCAAAGATGAATAAACCGAGGTCAGAGAGGAGAGGAGACTCACTCTCAATCTTCAAGTAAGCGGCGGAACTTGGATTTAAACTCAAGCCAGGCTGGCTTAGAGGTCCCTTCGCTTTCCACTTTGCTCTTCTTGTTCAGGGGAATATAGAGGAAAGGTCAGGGAGCAGGAGATGCTAAAAATGAATTTTGCCCCACTCTGCGGGCGGCCAGGGCTCAGGCCTGCCCAGGGATCTCAGACCCACGCACACCGTCCTGCTCTTTCTGTGTCAGAACAAGACTCCCCTTTCCCATAACAAACCTCTTACACGTTCTGATATTCCAATTTCTTAATGTAAATGGAAAACAAACAATCCACCACCCTAAGGTAGAGAGGGGCTTTCTAGGCCATGGCATGTGACCACATAAATCAGATTCAGCAAAGGAAGAAAAACGTCCTTTTGAAGGTTAACAATTTAAATTCAACCCCCTGTTTATGGCATGACGATTTCATGCTGGTTGGCTTTTTTGGGCACACTTTTCCTGGAGTGCCACAAAATTAGAATTTTTCAATCGCTGCTAATTCCCTCTCCCCACTTCCCCACCCAAGTTTGTACCTTGAGCATTGAGAAGCATGTTTTGAATGCACGGAAAAGGCTAAACTATAATCATTGGCTGAAGTCTAATCCCTCTTGCAATCCCAATAAATGAAAACTAAATATCAGCAAATGGATGAATTTTGGAGAAACATCTGTGTTCCATTACAGAATCGCTGGCAACAATGGTGTTGACATACTCTGTGTTACCAGTTATTTCCTCTTGGATTTGCCGAGACTGGAGGATTCCTTCTCGTTTCTGAAAACGGGGGTGGGGAGAGGGTTGGGAGGAGGAGAGAAAAATATGCTTTAGAAAAGTACAAAAAACTGATCAGCAGTCCTGATGTTGAGAAAGTCGCCGGCGTTTAAGAAATGAACCTAGAGAGGACAGACTGCTAGGAGTGAAACGAGGGCCCTGATTTCCTGGGACTGGACTGTACCACTTGTACTTAAGTGCAATTACTGTTTATTCCAAACAAGTTGGCTGTTTCTTGGATGGTGAATCTTTTCTTTCTTTATTGGAAGACATTTCTGCTGGAAGCAAACTCTTTGCCTCCTGGAGAAATCCGCAGTAAACCAAATGGAAATGAAGGCCAGGGTGTGTCTGCCCTCCAGCTGGGGCCACAGAGGGAAGCGGAGAAACACATTTAACTGTGGGGCTGGGGTGGAGGAACTGAGGCCAACTTGGATAGTTTAAACAGAGGGAGAGTGTTTTTTCAATGTTTAAATAGGGGAGCTTTTAAGTAAGTAGTACAGTCCTTGGGTAGCCAGCTTACTCTTTGAGAAAAGGGTAAGCACCCTGGAGGTCCACCCACACATCCACCCACGCATCCATCATCCGTCCACCCCCTCCCATCAATTCATCCTCTTTCTTCTCTAATTGATCAGTGCCTTCTATATACAAGCCCCCGGTCTGCACTTAGAGCAAACATCATGGGACATATGACACACTCTCTGACCTTGAGGAACTTAGAGTAAAATGAGGTAGATGAACAGGTATGCGAGAACAGTTTTCCCCAAAGAGTCCTCCTGGGTTATGCCTCATGTCCCAGCTCGGTTATTAAACTTGGACCGCCCTTCACTCTCAAATATGTCGTGGATAGTCAATTACACGGTCGTCGCCCGTTGCAGACAGGAAGTGCTGAGTGCAGGAAGGGAACAGGCGCTTCCAGCTTGGAGGAGGGGGCGGTCAGGGAGACCCTCCAGGTTCTGGAGTTGGAACTGAAAGGACACCTAGGATTTGGCTGGACACGGAGGAGAGCTCATTCCAGTGGGAGGAATGGCCTGAGAAAAAAGCAGAGTCAGGAGAGCACAGGTGTGTTCAGCAGGCCATTTGGAGGGACGGTGGCTGCTGTTAGTCAATTGAGCTCTGCTTTGGAGTTGAAACCTCACTGTGTGGGTGTGGGAGCTGAGGAAGGAGTGCTGGGGTCAGGACGACCTTCTGATGAGGAGGAGGAAGGAGATGCATTTGATCAGGTCCCTACACAACCAGTTACCAGACACTTGGAGGATGGTCTGGGCGTGGCAAGAGGCTGTCAGAGCAAATTCATCTTCCACAAAGGTTCAGATGTCAAAAAGGAACCTCCCAGCATTCGTGTTTCAGCTGAAACCTGCTTTCTTGACCCTCCTGCCCAAACTTCCAGAACTTTTTTTTCATATTCCTAACAGCCACAGAAACGAGCGTCCTTGCAAAGTACTTTGACAGAAGGAAAGGTAGAGCTGGATCAGGGCCAAGAGTGTATCTGGATTCGATTAAGAAGAATGGACTCTCAAAGCAAAAAAGGAAGAGAAAAAATAAAAATACCATTTAAAAGGGATCCAGTGAGGATAAACCAGGACTTTCTCCAAATTCAGCTCCAACATACGTAAACTTTTCACATGGGCTAATGGAATCTGTGTCCTTGTTTTGTGAGGCCATTCACAGACATGAAACTTCATCTTTGACTACACACAGAATTAAATGCTTTTATGCAGAATGGAAAAGAAATCTGGGTTAAATGACCCCTCACACAGCATCCTGGTTCACTTCCATCCATTGTTTGTTCCCTAAAGAGCTCTCCCTGCAGTTCAGTCAGTGTCTTATGGCCAATTCTGCGTCCTGCTTCTGTGCCTGTTTAACTTGATAAGGCAAAATACCCCATAAAACCTGACATGCATTGATGCCATTTTCTGTAACATGTCCTCCTTTGTCCCTCATGCTAACAAAACTGCCTCCAGGAGAAATTAAACCAGCAGCAGCCTTCCGATGGCCCATAACTGAGCTCAAAATAAGGCATGAGACGTGGCTCCCAGTGACCACTGTCTCCCCCGCTCCTCGCCCCTGCAGCAAGTCCTGAATCAGAGTTTAAAAATATATAACTAAATGGATCCACACTTGTATTGATTGATACAAATAACACAATAGAGGTGGCTTGGATTCACTAAGAAGATGCTTGTAGCAGGATGCACTGGGCTGGCCACATATCTATAAAATGCTCAGCACTGCGCTTGACACAGTTGAGAGCCCAATAAATGAGGCCAATTAGTCCCTTCCGGTTGGCTGCACTTAGTGTCTGAACCACACGCGTCTGCAGTGACAAGGGGCTTCTGACAGCCCTCTCTGCTGCTCCTCCTAGCAGGCAGGGCCAAGGTGTCATAGTCCTATTATACTCCCTTGATGTTCAGCAAGTTCAGTAACCAGAAGGCACTGGAAGCAATACTTCATTAGGGCACAACTGAGCAGCACCCCGATGTCTTCCTCCCCTCGCATTAACTTCTGATCCCTGAGAACTCAGCCCAAAGACCTTTTGTCCTGGAAACTGGCCTGGCTGCCCAGGCAAAGCCCCCCACCCTCCGGGCTCCTCCTCACCGAGGGCCGGCATCGCTGCCAGAAGAACCCTGGATAACGCTGGGTAACCGGGGGGCTGCTACAAGGGACATTCCGCCTCGCAGCATGTTTATTTGGGAAAGAACAGAAACAAGCCAACAAAATGATGCCCTTTTGCTCAACAGGCACGAAGTTGGAAAATAAAATTGAATTTGAGTGTCTAATGGGGTTAGGAGCAGAATGAGACAGTGTGAATGGAAATTCCATCCAGTAATCTGGAAAAGGCGACTTGAGATCTCGACTGTGCCTCTCCGGGTAGGTGAAAAGCGGCATTGCCCTCCATATGGGCACAGCCAGTTGGGGTCTCTCTCAAACACTCATGTACACAAGCCCCCACATGCACAGATAGCTGCCCCTTATCAATACCTGGGCATTGTTTGTTTAACCAGAAAACGGTGATTCTACACAGCTTATGGGACACACACAGACACATCTTTCCTCCTGATTCCCACTACACACGCCCTCGAATATACACACACAGGCCGCCTCCTGACAAAAGCACGAGAAGCCCAGGCACACACCCCACACAAGGCTGTCCCATAAGCAAGCACCGCTCTCCCACCCTTCGCACACACGCCAGGGATAAGCCCACGTCATCAGAAAGCCCACGCACATGCCTCCCAGCAGAGAGCACACCCAGACACGCTCAGTACTCATTCAGCTGCCTTTCTAGCAAGCTCCCCAGCGTGCCTTAGCTCCCACACCTTTAAGGGCACAAGATGTTTGTGGTAGTTTCCAACTTACCTGGACCACAACCACTTGGATGGAAACGTGGTCCGGGAGTCGGATTGGTGCCCGGAAATACTGGGAGAGAGCAACCAGCAGATGCAAGATGGCTACCAGGCTCTTGGCATGAACAGCTGAAATAATGGATGATTGCAAAGTTAGAGAATCTTCTTCTAAGTTCTATGGAGATAGAAGCAGATATTCTAATGTAGCAGTACCATACCCGATGCCCCTTCCAGCCCCTCCATGGGTCTGGGGACACCCTTGGTCATCCCAGGCCTCACCCTGAGCCCCTCAGTTCTTGGCCAGTGTCACCCATGGATCTCCTTCGTAGACCATGTTGTTGCTGGATTGCAAGGTAGTGCCTCTCCGCTCTAATCCAAGGTTTCCACCGGGACCCCTGGCAACTGCTGAATTCTGAGCCCAGATCAGCCCTCCACCACCCCCATGTTCTTGTTTATTCCAACAGCCATGAGCACACCTGCTTTGCACCCCCTCTCCCTTCCCATCTGACTATGGACTCTTGAGGTTATCACCACTGCCCTTGTCCCAAGGCTCTACACAATGCAAGCTCTCAGTCAATGGATATGAGTCAGGAACACTGGATCCCTTCCTTTTTTCAGGGCTTTAAGACCCCTGGAGGAAGGCATGAGAGACATCTAAAGGGCTCTGTTGCTCTTTTGAGTGCCATACACAGCATAGACAATGATCTTTGAGGAACATCTGGGAGGGGATGCTCACGACCCAGCTGGCTTTTGTAGCTACTGAGCTATGCGCTGGATGTTAAGTCATCTGTTTTGGAGAAGGCTGGGCAACTACTGGGCTGTAGTTTTCTCAGTAGTCGGAAGAAGACTGATGGAACGGAGTGCACGGTGTCAGGCAGACTGGAGCCTGAGTTCTGACTGGACATCTCTATACAGTTTCTCTCTCTCTCTCTCTCTCATACACACATACATGCTATGTGTACAGATATTAATTATTGTATATTATATTGTTATCTTTAAAAAATCTGGGAAACACTTATATCCAACAGCAAGAGGATGGTTTAGACCAGTGGTTTTCAAATATTTTTTTGTTACTAAGGAGAAAAACCCTTTGTTCTAAAAGCCATTAGGCAAAACTGATGAGAAAAGTACAGCCGTTCTGGTCCCTGAGTCCTGCCTGCAGCCCGCTCACAGCTGCTTCTCTTCCCCGCAACGATGCCTGGGTTTTTCCTTGCAAATCTCCAGGTTAGGCCAAGCATGGTTTAATAGTCACTGCTTCAGTAAATTATGGTACAGCCACATAGTGGAATAGTTTGCATGCACTGAAAATCACTGTTAAGACAATGCAGCTATAAATATTAATAACGCAATGTTAAAGAGAAACAATGGAAATAATGTAACCATATACATTTATGGATTTACATACATATAAATACACATATATTTATATATAGGTATATAAAAATACATATACATTTATATAACTACACATACGCGCACACACACACACAAGCATGTACTTGAGACTGAGACTTGGAAAGGAATACAAAAAAATAAGGAAAACTGTTATGCTAGAGTAGTTTTTTCCCTGCCCTATTTCAAACGTTTCTTTAGAATAAAGACATGTTATCTTTTCAATTAACAAAACCTCTAACAACCTCTGCATATCTGGGCACTCTCATCATTGCCGTCTCTCTGCACATCTCCCAGGACTTTTCTCCCTGAGGCCGGGCAGAAGACAGGGCCACTCAAGTCGGGAGGGAAACGTGCAGAGTGAGAGCAGGGCCGAGACCCAAGACTCCGCGGTAGAAACTGGCCACCGCGGCCGCTGTGCCAACAGTGACGCTCTAGGGCTGGCAACCATTTCAAAGGAGCTGCCGAGACAGAAATAGTCCTCCAAACACAAACTGTGGTGGAAACAAAACCTGGTGTAGTTTTGAGGGGAGGCAGTTTGACAATATGCGTTAGGACCTTAAAATTCTTTGGCCCTAAACTACCACTGCGAGGTCTTTATCCTAAAGAAGTAGTAATTATGTCATTGAGCAGAGACTCATCACGCTGTATTGATGTCAGTGAACAAATGGAAAACAACCTTAAAAATCTATCATTAGTTAAGTAAATTATGATCCATCCATACTGTCATAATATTAAAAGTGACATATGGAAGGATAGTTGATGATCTGTAAAGATATACCTCTTCTAAACAATATATTCAGGTTATCTCATCTTCATAAGAATAGAAAATGTTTTATGTATAAAGTATGTACCACATTTTGCTTACTGGCATACTTATTTCTTAAAACACACACACACACACAGCTTGAAGGAACACACTACAAGGCAGTGCCTATATCTGACGGGCAGCTCAAGAAGGGGAGCACATGCAGGCTGGGTACACAGGCTCTGCGGCTGGACTCTGTGTCTCATGCCTGGCTCCTCCCTTCACCTCCCGTGTGACCTTGGTCAGTGACACTCCTCTAGCAAAAAGCACTGTGATTAGTAAGTGCCAGTCATGCTTCCAGGTTTTAGAGACACAGTAGGAAAGAGACAAAAATCCTTGCCCTCAGGAAGCTTACATTCATTGTTTCTTAACCTCTTTATGCCTTGACTGTCCCATCTGTAAAATGGGGACAGAGAGTTCTTACCACAGATGGTTGAGTGAGGATTACAAGGATCAAAATATGTGAAGGGTTTACATTAGTATAAGGCATACAGTAAGTACCATAAATACGTTAGATGTTATTTAAATCTCTTTGAATTTATTAGTATTTTCTAAATTTTCAATAATGGAAATTACTGTTGTGAATTAAAAAAAAGAGAAAAGGAAGAACTCCCTAAGGCCCAGGATCAAGGGCCTTGGGAACTCAGCAGCTGTCCCTACCACCCTTCTCCTGAGTGGAAAGTTTCCACAACGTCCTCAGAAACAGCCAGGGAAGATAAGTGAGGGAGGAGGGGTCGGGTCATGCCTGCCACATTCCTCCTGATAGGAACCACTGCTGCTCGAAGTCCCGAGGCACTGCAGGGGCAAGCCACTGAGATAATTATTCCCTCTGACCTAGGATAAGTCCTCTCAGTTCTGGAAATATATCTGATGAGAATAATTCAAGAGAAGCCAAAAAGAGACACAACTTAACATTCAACTTGACACTATCTGATATTAGCAATAAGCTGGAAAACACCCTAAAAAAGGATTAATGTCAACACACGGTTTAAGGTAACTATGGGATATCTACCCCAGGAAACAGAGCAGCTATCAAAAATTGTAACTACCAGGGCCACATGCAAATACAGAAGATGTGCGCGATGTAACATTAAGAGAGAATAACAAAATGAGTTTGTGTGCCTTCATCAAGTGAAAGTATGAAACATATGCATTGATGTGGACAGTGATGGCAAAAAATGAAGAGCCAGATAAGAGTGGTCAGATGAATGATTATTTCACTCATACACATTTCCCTACAAGAAATGAAAGTGAATGTGAACCCAAAACAAATCATTCAAAGCCACTGAAGACAATGGTTTTGATATGGCTTTAAAAATTCAATGTGTCCATGTTGGTTCATCGATTGTACCAAATATGTCACACTGATGAGGTATGTTGAGGGTAGGGGAGTATATACGTGTGGGTGGGGAAGGCTATGTGGGAACTCTGTATTTTCTGCTTGATTCTGCTGTAAACCTGAAACTGCTCTAAAAAAAAAAAGCCTAACAACAAAAAAAAAGGCAAAAAAAATTCCCATCTTCTATTTCAGTCTTTCCCAAAGTGCATTCCATGATAAGTGAAAAGGTGTTTTGTTCTGTTTTGGAGGGGTACATAGAGGTGGTTCATATTCAAAGGAGTGGGAAATAGGATAAAACAAAACCAAGCAGGGGTCTTCATTAGAGGACTTGAATGCTTATGACGATTATGGATTTCTAAAATGCAGATACATTTCCCAATCTAGTGATCAGCCCCACTTTGCCCTCTCCTGCTGAATACTATTAACATCCCTGGGACACGGGACAGCATCTAAGGCCAAGGGTCGTGGCCTCCCCTCGTCCTGCCCTCAGGTATCTCCTCTGCTCAGCAGAGGATGCCCTGTTCCCAGCAAAGGCTGGGAAGCTGTGCGAGGCAGCTTATCACGCTGGGCAAGCAAAGGCATAATTATGCTGAAGGAGGTACTTGGCGTCTCGCCTCCCTTGTTGGGTGTTAGGAACCACTGAAGAGACTGCCACTGGCAGTTGCTGGGTCTCTAACTTGGAGAGGTGAAGATTCCCTTTTCTTTCTGAAGTTTAAAAGGAATTTTTTTTTTTTTTGCAGGGGTAGGAAGGAAGAGATGTCCATTTTAAGTTGCATACATCAGATGCAGTAAATTCTAGTACTTAACCGCTTAATACTTAAAGGCAAAAAACCACAATCTAAGTCATTTTACTCACCTAAATTCGTATTTTTATCTATTACAAATAACAACTTTGGGTTTCCTATGGGAAATATGTTGTTGCTACCGGATTCCCCAAATTCTACTGAATTCATGTTGACTCTGACAGGGACTCATTTAAGCCCACATTAGACAGCCAGACCCTTGAGGCAGCAAAAGAATGAATAGTCTATACTTTCTGAGATCCTTGGGCTATGCTAGTGTGAAAATCTGAATTTTCCAATCCTGTTCCAGTGCCTAAGCTCTCAGCTGCACCTTTGCTCCCTCTGGACAGTAAGGGGGTGGGAGGAAGGGCTTGGGTGCTGGAACAGAGCCAAGCCCTTGCTCCCCGCTTCTCAGCTGCACGAACTAGGGATCTCTGCTTCCGAGAGCCTCTGCAATCTGGAGACAAGAGCTTTCCCGGAAGGTTGTGCTGAGACTCAGAAGTAGCTCAATGGATAGGAGCTTCCTTCCCCTTCCAATCTCACGTGAGTTTTCTACAGAAAGCCTTTTACAAAAAAGGAACACTAGACTCGGACATTGTGCTATTGTCCCCCAGCAGTGGGGATGATAAGCTTTCTTTCTAAGGAAAGGCATACGTCGCTCAGAGATAAATGGGTTTGCACCCACCCGGGCCGCCCAGCTCACGATGCGGCTGCCTGGCCTGGGGGAACCCCACGGCAGGGGCCGCAGGTGTCATTAAGGGCCCTGCTTTCTCTTGCAAAACTCACAGTCTACATTCCACTTGATGCTCCTGGGAGGAAGCTTCAGGGTTTCATTGATCTTCTCCAGGACAGTCTGCAGCTTTTGCTTCTGAGCAATCTCTGACTGGGTGACCTCAGCCACGTTCAGCTTCTCACTCTCAAGTTTCTCTGGGGGTGACAAGGGAAAAGAGAACAGCTGTGATCTTTGCCACGGACAGCCCCTAACTCATGCATGCACACAGTCACTCCCTCGCTCGCCAGACACATACGGAGCACCTTGTATGTGATGGACACCGCTCTCCCCACTGTCTGATGGCGGCACTGGTGGCACCAGGATGTATTGTGAAAACCTTGTGACTGTGTACTGAATCCCCAAATTGTAAGATCCCAGGACCACAGAAGGGGGGCATTTAATGCAGCTTGTCCTATTTAGGCTCTTCCTCCTCATTTGGGGTTTTTTTTCCCTCTTCTTGTCACTTCTGCCTTCTTCTCCAAGGACATTTCTGTGCCCTGACTGGAAGGCTTCCATGCTTCCCCTGAGCAGTGGTCAAGTCCTTATTCAAAGGGTTGTGAACACTCCTGCAGTACAATATGTGTCCTGGTGAGTCGTATTTCTCTGTCTTAAGCATGTTCCTTCCTTTTAAACCCACCTGCAAGGTAACTAATCTGGTATCCAATTCATCAGTTCTAAGGCACACATCTTTTCACATTGTAACATCCCTGAAATCATGCTGTCTTAAAATTGATGGCACCCTACAACTGCTGACAGCCAGGTGGAAGGTATTGTAAGAGTTGTCACTGCTTCCACGAGCGTGAACTTGGTCATAGCTCTTCATAGTAGGGTCACTTCCATGTCTCAATAAGCCTACAAGAACAATTTCAAAAAGTAGGATATGAACATTCTAAGCAAGAAGCAAGCACTGGGCAATAGTTTAATTGAAGTGCTTTCTCTCTCTCCCAGTGGTATTTATACTGATGTGCTTTAAAATCAATGGTCCTTGTATGCAATGACATTACCCTTTAATACTTAAAGGCAAAAAACAATCTAATCATTTTATTAGTCTAAATTTATATTTTTATCTTGAAGAACAACTTCGGATTCCCTAATGGGAAATACGTTTTCTGTTATTGGATTCACCTAATCCACTCTCCACAGCCATTCGAGGACTGATAGAACTGACATTTGAAACATGTTTAAAACGTCTTTTCTCATTTTTAAGGGCTGCCATACAAACGAACTGAACTTCTCCATTCATCAGTGGTTTCCCTACAAGCTTATTATTTATTTTATTTTTCAGTAGTTGTAGCCTATCCAAGTCAAATGTCCTTTGGGTAATTCTTTGAAGATGAGGTTGCCCACTGGAAAATTTCTGCAGGTTCTGTGGATTTAAGAATTGTTTTCAGCACCTTGATAGGATGATCTCAAACTATTCTTATTTGTGATGGCCTGAAATGTTATTTCTCTCTTTTCTTTAGTTACTTGAGACCATCATTATTTCTAAAGTTCAGGGATTTAATAAGCATATATTTAAGAGTCTTTCTCTTGAATGTTCAACCTTCTAAAGAAACCGTGTGCCTTTTCTGTTTTCAAGCTATGAATTTTTACCTTGGATCCTCTCCTAATGAAGAAGTAACAAGTTATTTTCATCCTATACTGCAACTACCAGCATTTGGTAAAGGTACACTGGCCACTGGCAGAGGCTGCCCAAGGTACTTGGTTAAGGAAACATCTGAAGATTTATCTTGGCTCAGAGGAAGGCTGCTGGGATGCATTAGTGACGACTGTCTTGGGAGTGGACGGGGTAGGTGGGGCGGGGAGAAGCAGCAGCACGAGAACCACTTTTTTGCTAGCCCTGTTGTATTACATCGTTGCCTCTGAATTTTCATATTTGTAACCTCCTCTGGCATTGAACTACTTACAGTGAACAGTGTAGGTCTCTGAGTCTTTTCCAAGTTAGTAACTTTTTCTTGCTCTGTCGTCCATTCTGTTCTTGTTTTTTAAAGATTGGATTTTACACATTATGTACTGGAACATTCACTGTTTTTCTCTTTCCACCAATATTTTAAAGTAGTTTATAATACTGAAATTACAATTCATTCTTCCTAAAATTTAAAAAAATCTTTTTTTTAGCATCTGGCATTTCTTATTCAGGAGAAGAGTTTTTTATGGTTTTGCTTTATTTATTTGCATTACTTAATATTTTAGAAAATGTAATTCTTCGCTTTTTCTACTTTAGTTATTAAGCTTTGGGTTTATCTTCTTGCTTTTAATTTTTGTTGTTGGATACTTTTATGCGTTGACATTGGAACCTATATGGATTTGAGTAGAGAGACTATCTCAAAGTAGCCCTTATTAACAGTTTTAGGTGTATCTCTTCACGTTCATAATACACACAATAGAGTCTCTCTCATTCTCTCTGTTAATAAAAATAAGATTACAGTGTATAAATTTTCTGCTTTTTTTTCCCATTTAAGCATATATCTATGTCTCAATATATATGGATACACCTTTTTTTTTTTGTACTTCTGGACAAACTTCACCCATTTTATCCATTTCCCCTTCCCCATCCTCTGGCAACCACCAATCTGTTCTCTATCAGGTCATTTTTTGTTTTGTTTTGTTTAGATTCAACATATAGGTGAGATCATAAGGTATTTGTTTTCTTAATTTCTTTCTGATAGTTCATTATTAGTGTATAGAGTAAAAATAGATTTTTTTGTATACTGATTTTATACCCTGCAACTTCACTGAATTAGTTTATTAGTTCTAACAGTTTGTTGGTGGAGTCTTTAGGGTTTTCTGTATATAACATCACATCACTTGCAAATAGTGACAGTTTTACTTCTTTCTGAGTTGAATGCCTTTTATTTCTTTCTCTTGCCTAATTGCTCTGGCTTGGACTTCTAATACTATTTCGAATAAAAGTGTCTAGGGTGGGCATCCTTGTCTTATTCCTGATTTTAGAGGAAAAGCTTTAAGCTTTTCACTATTGAGTATGATGTTAGCTGTGAACTTGTCGTATATGGCCTTTATTATGTTCAGGTAAGTTCCCTCCATACCCATTTTGAGAGTTTTTTTTTTAATCATAAATGGATACTGAATTTTGTCAAATGCTTTTTCTACATCTATTAAGAAGATCTTATGATTTTTATTCTTCACTTTAAAACTGTGGTGTATCACATTGATTTGTGGGTGTTGAACCATCCTTGCATCCATAAATACACCTCACTTGACCATGGTGTATGATTCTTTTAATGTATTGTAGAACTCAGTTTGCTAATATTTTGTTAAGTATTTTTCCATCTGTGTTCACCAAGGACATTGGCCTATAATTTTCTTTTCTTAGGTGTCCTTGTCTGGTTCTGGTATCAGGATAATTCTGGTCTTGTAAAAATGAGTTTGGAAGTGTACTCTCTTTTTTTTTTTTTCAAAGAGTTTGAGAAGGATTTTTTGTTTTTAATGTTTGGTAGAATTCATTAGTGAAGCCATCTGGTCCTGGGCTTTTGTTTGTTCGGAGAGTTGTTGATGACTGATTTAGTCTCTCTACTAGTAACAAGTCTGTTTAAAATTTCTGTTTCATCATGATTCAGTCTTGGTAGGCTGTGAGTTTTAGGAGTTTATTTATTTATTTATTTAGGTTGTCTAGCTTTTTGGTGTATAATTAGTCATAATAGTCTCTTGTGATTGTGTTTCTGTGGCATCAGTTTTATCATCTCTTTCGTTTCTGATTTTATTTGAGTTCTCTCTCTTTTCCTTAATAAGTCTAGCTAAAGGTTTGTCAATTTCATTTTCTCCAAGAACCAGCTCTTGGTTTCACTGATCTTTTCCATTGACTTTTTTAGTCTCCATATATGTCTCACGCAAACATACATCATGATTATCTTTCTATGTCAATATAAATCAATGCAACTCAATCTTTTAAAAACCACATAATACATTACAGGACTTATAACTTATTCAACCATTCCCCTGTAGATACGTAGTCAAATTGTATTCCACTTTTTTCCTATTTGTAATAAAGCTGCAGTAAGCATCCTGTGTGTGTATATGTATGTATCACCAGCTGATTATTACTGGTAAAAAGAAAAGCTGTTGCCTTTCAAATTTTCTTCTTGAATACAGTCATCTTACCAAATCCCCTTATTGGTTCTATTATTATTTGAGTTTTTAGAATTCTATATGTAAACAATATAAAACACGGTTATCTCTATTTTGTAAGCTTATATTACTTACTTCAATTTTATGACATTTTAATATAGAAGATTTGAGATCCTCTTCTGTTGTTTCTACCCTTCACATTTTAAAAATATTCAATCCTCAAAATTTAGGAGATACATTCAAATATTCAATACATTTAAATAGTAATTTAATTCAGTGTTGCTAAGAATTTAAAGACAATTTATTTTTAAAGTCTCCTAGTTTTCTTCTTTTTTATTAGGCTAATTTCAGCTAGTTCCATGAACATTTTCTATTGCTAAAATTTTTTTTATTTTTCCAGGAAATTGTTTCTCCCACGTATTTACAGTTCTGCAAATTGTTCATCATCAGTTTAACTTGTTGTAAAGTAGTATGCATGATTTTGAAATAGGATGCTATTTAGAAAATTTTCTCAGGTAGGATTATTTTGTGAAACTTTCAGTTGTTTTTCAAGTTAGCATCCAAATATGCTTTTTTAGCAATTATTTATAGAAAACAATGAAACAGTATTCAGAAAGTTCTGAAATATCAAGACAGGGCAGAATAAACTCAATTATCCTGAATGGTAGAAGAACTGAGACATTCTAAACAAACATAGTTGCCATGTGTATTATACTGTATTAATGTAACCACCCTTCAAAGAATTATAATCCATAGACTATTCCTTCTAGTATGAGCAATTCCTGAGCTATGATGTTTTCCAAATATATGGAGAGGGATAGTTAAAAGTTTTTTTTTTTTTATTACATCATGGTCATAGGATTTGGTCTGTATAATAACTCCCTGAGACTTCCCGGACATAGTCAAATTTTGTAAGTGTTCCATGCACAGTAGAAAAGGATGAGAATATTCCAGCTTTGGGGTGTTGCTAGTTAGTAATATTGTCCAGATCTTTATCCTCATGAACTTTTTCTTTAATGTATTATTAAGAGAAATATCTTCAGCTACTGTGATGGCAGATTTGTCAAAT